GCCCCTAATGGTTGAAAGGACCATCATTGACCCCCATGTGATCATAGTCAAGGTTATGTTTCGATAGAGACATAATAGGCCTCATACATGATCTGTGTTTTTGTCTTGGTTTTTGCAAAAATGGTTGCCTCATCGTCACATGTGTATTAGAGAGTTTAAGTTCGAATTCCAATACCGATACCAACATGTCATGCACATGCTCTCTGCTCACAAGAAGCACAAGGACAAGTGTATTGGAAGTCACCACTACCGAAGTCGGCCTTGTATTGGAAGTCGTGGGAAATTAATGTAAGGTAAACTCAAATAAATCGGATATTTCATAATTTTTACGATAAACACGTACACATAAACCATTTGTTTATTGGCATCGTCTGAGTCATGTTTTAGTCGGAATTTTAGCTCAGCCGTCGCACATTTTCGGTGACGATTAATGTGTTCTATACTTTATCAGTTGTGATAACTTAACGCTTTATGAGAACGGAAGAGAAGGTTAAACTCTCTATTGTTTTCTTGGGGTATGACTTAAGGGAGAGTTACCAACCGGCGAGTTATGATTTCGGCGAGTTATGATTTCGGGGAGTTATATTCAAACCACGCCCACTTTTCTCAACAATCACACCCAATTTTTTAACTCTCCCGATGTTTCATTGAACTAACATATGAGAGTTATGTTTGACGCAACTCTCTCTCGTTAACGTTACGAAGATGTTAGAGAGTTATCATTTTTTATAACTCGATCTCCGCATTCACGATTATGGCAATGAATAGAGTTTAAGTCAGAAAAAACCTTAGTTAGTAAAGCTTGTTTCTTCAGATTTTCATCTTATTTTTTTGGTATTTCAATTTGTAGCGTGTGAATAGGAAATGCAACTTGATTCAGTCAAAGGGCCAAAGTACCCCCAGAAGCATGTGTTAACATGTATTTGGCAGTAAATACGGCAAGCATAGTTGCAAGAAAATTAAGAAAATTGAATCTTTCAGCAATTCAGGTTTTGGAAATACTTTCCCGGATCAGCCAATATGGCATTACATTGGTTTTGCTAGATAATCCAAGTGAGCATGTATATTTATATATCGGCCAAACGGGCGTGATATCCTTTGAAACGTTACGTTTGAAACATAAAAAACCTGAAAATTTTTGCACGCTTCAACCTTGAACACAAATGGCAGTAGCTTTTGGTTGCTTTAGCAAAAATACAATAAATACACATGTGACAATGAACGATCATTTCTTGCATAAACCAAGACAAAAACATGTAGATAATGAAGTCCATTATGTCTGCATCAAGTTTCCTAACTTTCTTATTCTATTGCCCATGTGAACAGTCTTTACAACTACATAAGCCACGTGGGCAAAGCCTGCAAAGGCATACCGTAAACCTTCGACTATAAGCCTCAGGTTTATATTCTTTTGTAAGCGATTTTTGATGGGATTATACAAGGGGGGGGCTTATATATGGGGGCTTATACATGGACGATCTTTTGTGTTAGTGTGTGTAATAGTGATAAACAATTGTTAAGCATAGTAATAATAGTTATTAATAGTGGCCGGTAATAGTGATAATTATATTCAGGGGGGGGGGGGTTGCTTATATTTGGAATGAGGTGAGCGTTGTGGTGGGCTTATACAGTACACAGGGGAGCTTATATTAAGAGGTTTACAGTATACAAAATCACATTACAAATCACAGAAGAATATATACCTTGTGTAATGATGGTGTTTTCCTGAGCAACTACTTTATGCAAACTAGAAAGCATTCTTCATTCCCATGGTTAGTGTCTTAGTACTGTTGGATGTGATTTGATAGGTTCTTGCATCCCAACTTGGCACATTCAATAAATTCCGATGATGCTGATAGGTTATCTTCCTTTGGGGTTTCCAACACTGTCAAGACTGTGGCGATGTGGATTGAATATTGTCTCTGGTGCTGCATCTGTTGTGACTTAACAATCTTCCAAATTTGGATCAAACAGAATCAGTTGATCAATGCTCATAGTTTGCAAATGAACGAGTTAAAGTCTACAACGCAGATTAGTCATCACTGTGGTTTTGTCACTGTTGTGCATTGATTATTGTTTCTAGTGTGACTTGACATCCCATTGTGAGAATATCAATTTCTTCCAAATTTGGCACAAACACAATCTGGCGATAAATTCTGATGGTTAGCAAGGGAATCGAGTTAAGGTCTATATATAATGCTGATGTTCTGCATTTGTCCTTTGTCATTTTTACTTCCAGCTGCTTGGCGCTCTTCGAGTCCTTTCTCTACTGCTTGCCTTCAAACTGATCAGTCTTGAGACAGCTGGCAATCTAAGAAGAGTTGGATTGTGTAATGTTAGTTATAAAATATTTCCACATCAATGATGGTCTCTCGATCTAGCCGAGTCATGGGCTCTTGACACACGGTGATCGCTAGATAGTATACTTCAAAATAAGGTTTCCGTTTTTATAACGTAGAAAAAACTATCCTAACGCAAAACTAAACCCTAACCCTAATACTAACCCTCACCCTAACCCTAACTCCAACCTAACCCTACCTAAATTTATTTTAATTATTTTAAAAATTGAT